TTTTTTTTCATCATCACCAGATAAATAACCAAAGAAATTATTTATCACTCTTGCAACTAATGATGCTTTTAACACATCCATTGTAAAATTAAACTAATCGACAGGGTTTGAATTAAATGTAAGATCTTGGTTTCAAAGTTATCAGGTTTAATCAAGGAACATTGTTGCATAATTCCTGCAAACTAACGATATTATTAAAATAGGGCAGATAGAAAAATATTGTCATTTAAATAATTGGATGTTCTGTAAATGTTAACGATACTGTGTACATTTTGTATTACATTAAGTAAGTCAGGATAATTAGGAAATTGTTCAAACTTAATAATTGTTTTAGTTTTTAATCTATGTAAAATCTTAATATTCAATGTAATGAAACTGTGAAAAAAACGAAAAATTCTCTTCTTTGAATCTTGCTTAATGTTTTTAATGATAAAATTGTCTAAAAGCGAACAAAAATATCTACTCCCTGACATATGTCAGTTTGGAAATCGCCGCATGTTGCCATGAAATTGATATAATGTAATCTAATTTGATATATTCCAATCACTAATCCAGATAGGTGGTTATAATTGGGACAGGTTGCGAATGATATAACCGATTTAAGTACTTTCAACATGTGAGAAAAGAGTGTTTGTTTGCAAAACAAAACATTATGAACTTATTTGAACAATGACATCAGGCATTTAACACAAACATTCGTATTAATAAAGAGCTGTTAGTTACGTCCTGTTGTTATATCCAGTCATAACCAGGCAAATATGAAAAACAACAGAAATAAAGTCATCATCACCAGATAAATCATCACTGGCTTTAGTTATCGCTCTTTCAACCGGCAATACATTTAACACATCCATTATTAAAAGAAACTAATAATCGAGTCAATCCAAATTGAAATAATTTGAATATCAACATTCTTCTCTACGAATGGTTGTATAATATAAATATATTTATGTTTTTCTTATCATAGATGTAGATGAGTGATTGTAATGGGGAAAAGTTGTTGATGATATAGCCGTTGTCAGTATTTTCAACATTTAAGTAAGGTGCGATTTAAGCGATTCTAAATTTCATATAGCTATTTAAACAAAGATGCCAGTCTGTTAACACATACATTTGTAATGGAAAAAAAGGATTACTTACGTTCTGTTGGTATATCCAGTCATAACCAGGCCGATGTGAAAAAGAAAAGCATAAAATTAGTATCACCTGTTTATCACCAAGAACGTGTTTAACGCCCTTACGATCGACAAACAGTTTAACACATCCATTGTTGAATCAAACTAATTCTTGAGTCAATGTAAGTTGAATTAGCATAGTTTACACTTAACACGACATGATTTGTATCAATATAACCAGGCTTCATTAATAAGACAGGATGCATAAAAAATGTGATAATAACAATGTGATTTTGTGGGGTTAGGAAGAAAGATAATGTACTCATTCAACTTGTTGCCCAATTTTTGTAGTATGAATACCAAAGCACTTCACCATGAAACGTTATATAACGTTTAATGTGATTTTTTATTTTTGAAATCTCTATTCTACAAGGGTTTTAATAACAAAGACAGGTTGTGACTGATGCAACCGATTCCAGTAATTGCAACACATAACTAAAGTATGTATGGTTACAAAGCGAAATTGTATGAACTTATTTGAGATTAGGGTTAACACGCTACAACAGGTTATTTAAAGCTGATAAGACTCCGAGTCTTGATTGCTAAACCGTCATTGTACCATAAAATGAGCGTAGCAGTCGTATTGTTATACTGCATTTACTTAATCAGTGGAATGCTACAGTTATGGGATCGCACAACGTTACACGATGTACGGAGGGCGCACGATGTGTGCACGGTGTGTGAACGATGTGTACACGATTTGCGAACGATAACAGTTTTGTTTTCATAGCTACCATACGGTATCAGACATCAGCTAAACTCCGGTCACTCATCAAAATATGATTTACCTGTTCTGTTACCTTTGAGCCAAACTCATTTTTGACAGTCTAACGGTCACTGTAATATTGTGTAACACGCATTTTAAAATTGTACATAATCTTAAATAATGTTATGAGAAATCACAGTAAAATATACAAAGTACATTATTGCATACGAGCCGTCCGTATTTATTTCATTCCGTAATATTGATCCACAAACTGTACCTAATGGCACAGTTGTGCGGAGAGAAGCGCACAACGAGGCGAACGATTGTTAAATCGCACAGTTGTGCGCACCATGTGTTGTCGATGTGCGAACGGTGTGTGAACGATGTATGCACGGTGTGCGCACGCTATTTTTGGTGCGTTGTGCGGTTTCACAACTGTACAATAAGATATTAACACACCCCACCGGGACTGAGAGAAAATGGAAGAACACATTAAATGATCCGTACATTTTAATTACAAAGTGTTAGTTTATATTTCATAAATTTCTGTAACAGACTTTTATTGATGTTCAAACATTGGAATATTAAGATTTGATGTAAGTTTTAGTTTCATTGTGTTGCAGTATACAATTGCACGTATATTGCACACGGTTGAAATAAGATGTACGTTTTTGTGGTTATCATACGCTTGTAACCGATTGTTTAATTATAATCTCATTATGTCAAATATGATGGGTGCGTAATTTATGAAGCATTTACGACTCATTATGGATATTACTTATCAGCGCAAGGTAGGTCAAAACCGGTTCACACAAAAGAACAAATAACATACGAATAACACACATCACTGTATTTTAAAGTCATCACAACAATTTTAAGCCTTTCACCTCTGACAGGAGAAAATACGTTATCAGATTTTTAAATCAAAATTAAAAGAGCATAATAACTATAGAGGTTTCTCTGGATGACACGTATAGCAATGCCAAATTGTATGTGGGTTTTTTCACCAATATAATACTATTGCCATTCTTCTGAGATATAACGATTTGACTCTATACTATGTGATCTTACATATACGAATAAGGAGTTAAGCAAACCTTTGTTTTCGTTACTTTGCTTACATATTGCTGTTTGTAATCCAAATATTCGATAACGAAATTCCACTTTCTGCTTGAGTTTTTAAATGTACACAATTTATTTTTGCTTTATTATTATTTTTGCAAATTTTCCGTTTTTATTTATGCTACGATGATATTCGCATTTTTGTGTCTCTTTCTTGTTCATGTTTGCACAATCCATTAACCTTCGAAGCGATGACGTTATAGACATAAATGAAGAAATTTGATTATCGTGAGCCCTTCAAGTTCTTTGATACGTTAGTCCGACAATAGTCATACATACATTTGCTTCAAGTGTTAAATGTACGACAGTTTTCGTTTACAAAATATGTAATCAAAGTGATTTTCATTCGAAAACCACGCTATTATAAAAAAAGGTTTTAGGTAAAATAATCCAAAACACGCGAAGCGTATTGTATCAAGTGCTGATTGCTGGCGATTTTCTGCTTATGTTGCAACATCAGTTACAAGTAGGTATCCACGTAACCTTATAACTATGACCTCGATCTTTGCTGAAAAGATCTGATGTAATATACTACAGCTAGCACCAACGAAAAACAAGAAAGGACGACGCATTCCTTACCTTCATCTTTGTTTGAACCCGACGCCATTCTAGTCTTTCTAGTAAACGTCAGCTCGTCATCTGGAAAAGGGAAAATTGTGGTTGCATTGTAAAAAAGACAAATAGTATGAATCATATCGTTTGTTAGGGAGGCTATAAAATATAGATATGCAAATTGAAACAGTTAAAGACAACAGACAAGAATGATGAATGACACAACGTTTTGGTTGTTGTGTAGAAGATTGTATATGTGTAAGCATACATCAGATGATAAATTAATATGTAAAAATACTTAAAAACGCCAACCAAACAAGTCCGAAATAGTGGTATCATTCAATCACATAAGGAGTTCATGATTACAATGTCGCATTATGCTTGTTCAAATATTACATATTACTACAGTTAAGGGGTCGCGCAAAGCTAAGCAGTTATTCAATTGATATATTGTTTGATATATGTGAATAAGTGGCTGTAAATAAATACGATTTCGTATCTAAACGTACATCTTTCTTGATTAAAGTATTTTGCCATATTTTGACCAGGAGTTATGCAGAACTGATCAATGATAATATATGTGGAGTTTGTAGTTTACATGTAACTGATATACATGGGGAAGTTAATCGTTTCTCTACCATCTAGATTGCACTACATATGAATTTGTATGTGAATATTGGTTAGAGTGACCTGATGTACCCGCTACATTTGTAATTATTGTAACAGAGTGAGAGATTTGTGTATACATTTGATATCAGTTATATTCATTTAGTGTTCAACAGTTTGGGAATCATTTATTTGTATGGTTTACTTTGACAGAGGTTTAAGAACATCAGTGTCTATAGCTAAGTCTTATGTGCTAGTATCACGCTACCACAGGCTGTTTTAAGCTGATTAAACGCAGAGTCTTGACCACTTGATCTTCACATTGTTATAATATCTGTGTTGCAGTCGTATTATTATACTTTATTTACTCAGGAAGTGAAAAACTGTAAAGCAAAATTTACACACCCCACTTGGTGCCAGACCCTGGCTACACCCTGTTAGCACATGTGTATTGGTCACTTTATACTCAGCAGTCGTATATACGATTAAAGAGTAGGTATCTCGACTATTTTCGAAGCTGAAACCAAGACACTAGGGCCCAAGGAGAGTGTCCTGATCCCAAGGGGTAATTTTGCAGCTTAATTTTACCATCCGTAGTGAGGGCGAATGTATCATTATAGCGAATATAAGAAACGGGATAACATGGTAAATAAATGTCAAAGGCGAAATTCACATTTGGCGGATTTCATGGCCGAAGGTCGAAAGTTTGACTGGCCGAAAATTTCCCAATATACGATATGTCATAGGAATCTCAACTCAGGGGTTGATCTACAATTTAGTGGACAGAACCTTTTGCCCTCCTGAAAACACAATGACATAAATATTCGTCTTTTGGAGATCTGTATAATTTGTATGTTGAAAACTCTGTGTTGGTCCCATCCTTCAACACTGGGAGTCAATCCTTAAACGAAACAATTTTGATATTAATTACCTGATAATGATTTTTACCAAATACGTTTAATATGCTACTAGGAGTTTCAGACAGGATGTCGATTTAAGTAATATGGCAAAAGATATTTTTGGTGTTGCTCCTCCGCACCCAGTTGGTCAGCCCCTTCATTTGTACAATTATAAATCCCAGCTACATGAGATTTCTTCCCATTGAATATGGTGAATATTAAACTGTAAGTTTCAGAACATACCTCGTTTAGATGATATTGCACAAATAACCTAGTTTGGCCCTACTCGTCAGACCCCGAAGGTCCAGCGTGTTAAACTCTTTATTTGTTTAATTTCGAACCTAAATGGCAAGAGAATGCTTAAAAAAATAATATCCAGCATTACGTCAAAAAGATGTCGCTTTAAGTAACTTTGCCAAATTACCCCCTTTTTATGATGATGATGATCATTAAATAAAATACGTCAAACCAAGCATTGTGCCAACGGCGTTTAAACCACAACCATTCAAAAGGAATGTCCATGTCTCTTGACCAATCCTTAACATACAATGAGATACCAAACTAAGCCTGTTCGCCTATGGCCAGTATCATCCTCAGTATATTGGAAGTTAACCTTACAATAACATCTGAGTACATACACGTATATATAGGATCTTAAATGAGTTTTCATTTCATATGAGATTTTATGAAACGAGTCTTAAGAGTTTTTATTAAAGGCGAGCAAAAATTAACTTCGAGTCGAGTTTCATAAAAGCTCATATGAAATGAAAACATATTTAAGAAACTTGTTATCACATGACTCATAAAACTTACATTTTGACAGGATTTAAAGCCAAAATGTAAAGGGCTTAATCAAACGGAGACAGCCATTTTGTTGCGCCATTCACAATTGATGACGTCACGTCATTGTCCATATTATAACGTCACAATCGATTTCTGACTGACACAGCCAATGAAAACCGCTTCAAGGTATACTACACCAATGACATATGTAAAAATATTACACGGGCGAATTCACTGGATAACAGGCCGATTATGTGATAAACTAATATCTCGTATATGTGCAGTATTTTGATCTTCTATGACACCATTGGGTTTGTTTTTATGTTTACAACACTCCGTATTACACTAAATGAGTGCTGGCTAGCAATAACTTGCTTTATTACTTTTCTTTTGCATTACACCCTGTGCAAACATGGTCGTTGTATCCTAATTGTCCTCGAATTTTGAGGCAACATAGCTGTTTTGTCCTGTAATTTATATCACTGTGTTAAATTGGCTACACATTGCTACACTGTTGACACCATACATACGTGTATGTGTTGAACTATTTTTTTGTTTTTCAGTTTGTTTATGTAATTGTAATCTTGTCAAAAACGTCTGGCAATAATTTGTGTTCATTGTTTCACTAGTCTTGACCAAACCATTTGCTTTTGGTTAATTACTTCTAAGGATGCTGTATATATCTATATATACTATGATAGTTGTTTCATGGCTTACTTCACCTCTTGCTTCAATATTGTTGACACAGAGAGTATCAGTAACACTCAAGTCGTTTACTTATGAGAATGCGTAGATTAACAGACGTAAACGATGTATATGCATTGAGAAATGAGTCATAGGTTGAATCAACGAAAATAAAGTTGAAAGGCTGGGTTCTAAGATATCTATTTCCATTGATATTTAACCTGTTAATCATTTTGTTAATAGATTACATCATAGTATTAAATACTGCACTCGGTAATAACTATTTACAGTATCACTGGTGAACTCAATTGACACCGAACTTGTATTCGTAGTATTGATTTGAGAATGAAGAGAACAGTTATTTTGTTAGAATCTGGATAAATCAGGTGTCAATCAACAGAAAATACTATAAAAGCAAGTTACCTTGGCTTTCCAGTAGGTGAAATTTCCTTCCTTCTTGTTTGAGTGGCGTCAGACAGCTGCACTGTCTCTCACTGGGACCGAGGATGAGCAGGACCGGGGCTGGTGAGGACCGTCAAGATACTGTAGGACAACTCGTCCGGACTTCGATCATGATATCTACAGTTGAATATCTAATAACTACCTTTTTAAGTGTATACGGTCCTCAGCTTGGACATCATGATCAGGGAATAACGTTGATGTTTTCCATATATATATACATTTATAAACTAAAAAGGGCCGTATTAATTGAGGAAATACGTAAAACCCCGGCTTAAAGAGTGGTTATATGCCGTACAGTTTTTAACTATAGCTTTAAGCGTATATGGTCCTGAGCAGAGACGTCCTGAGCAGGAAAACAAATACTCGTTATATCCGTATTTATGGATCAAAGACATGAAGGTGATAGTGCTCAGAATCAAGAGAGGAGTAAATATAATCAGAAACGTATTAATATATACGTCTCGGATATGATCAAGAAATATAGTTAAACTATGTCTATAGTATTTTATCTTTGCGTTGCATATTTCATATAGTATATATACAGTTAGGAGCAAACTTAACTTGGTGGCCTAGTGCACTGGAGTTACCAAGAAATGTGAACTCCAGTTCACATCGATGTGCACTGGAGTTCGTATCAATTTGAACTGGAGTTAACTACAGTTCACAAGGTATTTTTTTATCATACTATGTCTGGCCTTTTCATCAGTTTATACATACTATGATTTTCTTCCCTCCTGTCTGCTCAACAAATCAATAAATAAACAAAGTATTAGATCTTACATATTCATATACTTAAAATGATTTAATTATAGAGAGTGATGAACTATTAAATTATTACCGACTTGGATCCATGGTATCCAAATGTATATACGGTCCTGAGCAGAGACATCCTGATCAGGAAATCAAACGGTGAATATATCCGTAGATTTTATCAGTGTCAAGAGAGATCTCCTAATGATTTTTAAATTGAAAATACATTACATCAACGACGAGATACTTTATATATACTAATTATAGCATACACGGCCCTTGGTAGGGACAACATTATCAGGAAATAACATACATTTTTCCATAAATATATTTAGCCATTTATAATGCCAATGCAGATAGCAATGTATATGGTCATTAGAGTTGTCGTATTGATAGATGAAATAGAACTCCGATTTATAAGAATTGTTGTATGCCGTTTAGTCTATAACTAAAGCTGTTAGCGCGTACTGTCCTGAGCGGGGGCATCCTGATCAGGAAATTAAGTACTCATTATATCCTTATAAATGGACCAACAACATACTGTTGGCAGTGTTGCAGAGCTAAGAGCTGGGTTAATATGACTTAAAATTAAAACTTAAACTATGTTTATAGTATTTTATCTTTTTTATTTTATACTATAGTGTATACAGTCCTGAGCAGGGACATCACGATCAGAAAATTTGATGGTAAATTTATCCGTAGATATTTATCAAATAAATCAAGTTTGCAAGGTTTAAGGTCAAGAGAGATGTCCTAATAATTTTCAAATTGAAAACACGATGAAATACTTTACATATAATTCTTACAGCATACACGATCCTGGGCGGGGACAACATGATCATGAAGATAGAAATATATCTTTTGGTCATTAGCGTTGTGGTATTAATTGATGAACTAGAACCCCGACCTGTAAGAATGGTTATATGCCGTATAGTATAATCTATGACTATAGCTCTTAGTGTGTACGATCCTGAGCGGGGACATCCTGATTAGGAAATCAATTGCTCATTATATTCTTTTAAATTGATCAAATACATTCATGTGACATTACTTACAGTCACGAGGGGAGTAAACATGATTTAGAAATAGGAAACAAACTATGTCTAAAGTATTTTATGTTGTAATTGCATATAATAGTGTATACGATCATGAGAAGGTACACCATGATCAGGAAATGAAACGAGGATTATATCCGTTGTTATTTATAAAATAACATGTACGGTCCAGTTAGGTGTCCTTATAATTTTGAAAATGGAAAAGACGTCAAATATATCTTGAATCACACTATGTATATATATTTTAGAACGTATACGGTCCTGAGCGGGGACATCCTGATCAGGAAATCAATTGCTCGTTCTATTCGTATAAATGGATCAAATACATTTAGGTATAAAAAATAACAAGTTTACTGTCAAGAAAGGTGTCCTATTAATTTTGAAAAAGACGTCAAACCTATCTTGAATCACCTTATGGATATTAGAACGTATACGTTCCTGACCTTCTGATCAGGAAATCAACGCTCATTATAACCGTATTCATAGATTCATACAGATGACAATGCTTACAGATATTATATATATTATAACGTATACGGTCCTGAGCGGGGGAACTTCCTGATCAGGAAATAACATATTTATTTTCTCATGTAAATACTTTCTAATATTAATTAAGTCGTTTTTTTACGATCCTTTAAAATTGCGGTATACAGCTAATCTGAATACGCGTTGTTAATCTGAAAGAAACTGATCAGTTTTATATACATTATGTATCTCACATAATGCCTGTCCATGCTTCAAAACACATCTTCACTAAAAATGTTTACATTGGACACTGATGTTTTAGTTGGAGTCTTATCCATTTGAATAAAATGATATCAGCATTAATAAGAATGATATGTCCTGCATAAGAATTGAGCTCAGAAAGGTTTTGCAATTACATTTCACAACAATGAATCTATTTTGATAATGCCTGTAGTTCCTTTAATTCCAAGAACATCAGAGTACTTACTAACTCCCAAGTTCAACAAGTTCATGCTTATTTAATTTAGGATAGGCCAATACTTTATTAGTTAACTCAAGTTTGAAGTCAGTAAAGGGATTCGGGCCAATATCAGGTCATCAGATAAGATGTTGTCCAGTCTGTGGTTATAAGGGTGATTAATGCTCCTGTGGTGGGGTAATTGCCTTGCTGATATTGTGGTTTTACAGACAGCGAACATCTGAGGTAAAATTACAAACCTTATCCACATTTGGCCAGTCTTCAGAATCAGACATCGAAGTGATTAAATTGTGAAAGTCTAATTTCTGAATAATTAAATACTTGGGAACTAGTCTAAACAACAGACTTCAAAATGATCAAAATCGTTGGAGCCTAATTCCAGAAGAGTTAAATATTCTAGAGTCGGGGGCAAGTCTACCTATAGTTACATGCAATAGCGTACCCGAGGGAGGAAAGGTTGACTAAGAAATACGATGAAAGCTATTCCCATGCTTATGTATTATTTAGATATTTGAATATATTGGTCAACAGTCCTGACAGTGGACATAATCACAACTGAAGTCAAAGAAGTTTCAATAGTGATATACCTAATATATGGACATGGCCCTTGGGAGGAACATCTTTATCAGCAAATTGAGGTTGTTTAAATGATTATAATATACAATGTATATTCTGTATTAATGAAGAAAGCAATGCATGCTGTCTTCAGCTTCAATAGTACAAAAAGAGTACACCAACAAGTAAAATGATGTGTTATGCTCAATGGAACACACTCAGATCTTTTTCGCTGATAACAAGAGCCTCGCCCAAGGGGTAATGTTGACACCAACGATGTTAACGACTTCCAAAAACTATTTAATTTCGATTATGAATTTTGAGAATCTAGTTTGTTCCCGATGATGCCCGCAGATGACTTGCTCGTATAGGTGGATTTTGCTAAAGACTTAAAAGATGTGTTTAATAATTCCGCTTAATCCCGAAGCCATACTGTAAATGTGAAAAACAAACGAAAATAACTGTTTTTCGGAAAGATCGAAATAATACGATTGTTTCAGATTAATTTACAGAGTTGAGAGTTGTTTTGTAAGATTTGAACAAGGCTTAAACTACTTATGACACAAATCAAGAATATAATTATAATTTTTCCTCAAATGCATCACATGCACTATTCATGTAAATTCCCACACAGTAGTGCTATTGTCTTTACTTATTTTCCCATCAGTTTCAATAGGAATCGCGTATTATAGAATCGTTAATTTTCCTTCTTGAGATGCTAACATACAACTTTTTTGTAAAGATGTGTAAGATAATTCGAGGATAAAATATCAAAATATTCCAAATCGCTGATAATTTTGTACTTAAATAATTTTACGAAAGATTAGAAATGGTAAATCTGCATGGTACTGTGCTGTGATAAAATATGGATTACAAAATTATGGGAAAGATATGTACTTAGGTATCAATATAAGTTTAAGTTCTACAATCAATACGAATTTCTCCAATATCATCATCTTTTTTTCCAAACCACTCCACTGAAACTGTTCTAAAAGTACATCCAAACTATTAATGGCAGCAAATTATTTTACAAACAGATAACACTTAATACATACATCATACAAGTATTGAAGATGACAGTACTTTTTGCTTTCCCAACTATGAAGAAAAGAGCGCAGCGTGTTTAAATACACTACGTTTTCTGCAACTCAAAGCTTCAGTGCGGCACTGAGGCAAGAGACTGTATCATTACAATTTCATCTTTAAATGACACTGGTGTCAACAGTTTAATTGGCTATTTCATGTCCTTATTATTTCCCTTGTTATTTATGTGTCACCTTTGATTCTGCCTTATCTTGAAAATAATTTAGGTGTAAATTTAATCAGGACTGAAACATGTCATGGTCAATAAATCATAATCGTTGTAACGTGTGCGTAGTGTCAAGTAGAGTATGAATTAGTACAAGAAAGAGAATACTTTGTAGTTGATTTGCACAATGGCAGCAAAAAATGAATAACGACCTGAGAGTTACTTACTAACATTTTACCTGTATTTTGATAGGGAATCAAGATCATTGTTTTAAAAATCTTCACATGTTAAGATCCGAGGTCTTTATGTACCCTTGTAACAGCGGATTGTTTTTTTATGTAAGACACTCTTTATTGATATTGATTTGATTTAAATCTTAATATTGTGCAGTTCCTGATCTGAGAATACCATCAAAAGAAAACAAGAGGTCCATGGGCCTCAACGGTCACCTGATATATTTATACAGAGAGTTGATTTTGTTTTTAACACAAACAGAAATATTATTCAGTGACAAAAAACAATATAACCACCTTATTCAATATCTAGCATACAGATTTAAGACCAA